CTTTATTTGTACTATTTTAATCCTTAAATTAAATCATTATTACATATTATAATCAGAAATTATTATTTGTACTTTCGAGCAATAATAATGCTAATGATTCGTGCAATAAAAAAGGGAGCGGAAAGTTGACGATCTTTTAATGTAAAACTAAAAAATGTAACCTGCCGCGACGCTTGAAAAATATATTCATTAATTAGTGAATATTGTTGTCTACAAAAGAAAATGATATTTATTCAATGAAATCTTACTGAAACGTAATATTTTACAACGTGCGATCAACAGCCAATGATTTCTGTTGCAAAGGTAGTAAGTCATGTTACTATCAGCGATATATATCCGCTGTTATCGATGAATCAATAGTAGATTGTTTCACAATGAAGCTCGACAGAAATTAGCGAAAACTGCGAGGCAGATAAAAGAAGAGAGAAGGAGTGAGGAAGCGGCCGAGTACCCGGAAGAAAAGAGAATCGACTCTTCCCTCAGCGATAAATCTTAAATCCTCCTCAAGGATCTTCCGCCTTCCACCGTTAACCAGAACGAATTCGTGCTTCGTCCGAACTGTCTGATAATTCTCAGCTTTTGCTTCATTTTTACTCAACATTTACTTTTCTTTGAATTGATCGTGACATTGCTGTTAAAACACCAATTTCCTAGATCATATAAATTAATCTGCTTTGTTTCTTGAAGTGCTGTTTATGAAAGATAAAAGGATCTTGGTGGATTAGAGTTTGATTCGAACAAGAATCAACGACAGTTGTGATAAACATATGATATATAAAATTAATATATATATAAAATATCTTATAATATTCATTACTTTTTTGTTATTAGTATATTTTATAATATCTTATCATCATAGAATACAAAAATACAAATTTACTAATGGCGCTTGATAATTTGCAATAAATAAATAAATATATACAAACAGATATATACATAATACATATTTTGAACTAGTTCAATTTTGTGATAACAGAATGCAATAAAATAGTGATAAGAAAACGGACTAAGAGTTAATAAATACAAACAGACATATATATACTAGTTACTAATAGGTAAAAGTAGTAAATATATTTAATTAATTATAGTTGAAAATAATATTACAATTAAATATATTATATTACACTATTATATTAATATTATTAACTAATATTATGTTATTATATTAACTAATATTATACTATTGTATTAATATTATTAACTAATATTATACTATTGTATTAATATTATTAACTAATATTATATTATTATATTAACTAATATTATACTATTGTATTAATATTATTAACTAATATTATATTATTATGTTACACTATAATAATATTAATATTATATACAGTTACGGACAAAATTGAGTGGACAGGTAATGGAAATAGATATGAATTAAGTTTAGTCAAAGTAGTACTATTATTACTTACTTAAGTTTCATGTATTATATATCTTTATGGTACATAGGTTATTTAGCGAATGACTGAAATTAATATTTACATTGGTGTTGAAATAAGATATACCTAAAGAAAAAGCTAGCAGATTATCGAGGGACAAAAATAAGTGGACGCTCGTTGGACGACTTCAAGGCAAACAATGTAAACAAACAGTGAAGTGTTGCTTCCCCATTCTTACACTGTGGTATCAAATTAACTGTTCATTTTCTAGGCTTTGTACAGGGCAGATTATTTGTAAGGAAATAGCGGAATGTTAGCAAGAAAAGAAATTTCAAATCAAATTCGTTATTTGATTATATCGGACTGCCGCAATCGATTAAGTTACCGTGTGATAGCAAAAACGTTCGGTGTTTCCAAAAGTGCGGTAGAAAAAAATTTATAAAAAATACTTAGTACACAAAACCGTTGAAAATTCAAGTGATCGCGGACGTAAACGTTGTACCACCGCGAAGAAAGATCGTTGAATTATTCGTAAATGTCGACAAAATCTAAGAATCGCGAAATATTGTAGAAACGTTAGAATTAAATGTATCATTAAAAAAATAGTACGACGTAGATTGCAGAAGTTGGGATTAAGATACTGTAAAGCCAAATGTAAGCCTCACATTAATCAAACAAATATGAAGAAACGTTTAGCTTTTGCTAGAAAAATATGTAAATATGCCAATATCATTCTAGAAAAAAGTAATGCGGAGTGACGAAAGCAAATTTGAATTGCAACAATTGAAAAAGAAAAAGATTGCGTGGAGAAAAAGATATGAAACATACAAAAAGCTGTTCATTACGCATAACTGATCAAATTTTGGAAGAAGGTCATTAATGTTATGGGGGTGTTTGTACTGGAATGGAGTTGGTAGTTAGGTACAAATTGAAGGAATAATGAATGCTGACAAGTACATTGAAATAATATGCGAAAATTTAGAAGAGGCAGTTCTAAAAATAGGTCTCGAAGAAAAATAAGTTTTGCAGCAGGACAATGACCCGAAGCACACTGCTAAAAAGACCAATAAATTTTTTGAAGATTCAAATGTTAATTTCAAATTGTTGGAAGTGACCAGCAGAAAGTCCGGACTTGAATCCAATAGAAAACTTATGAAGTGTATTGCACTCAGAAGTGCCATTAGAAAAGCGAAAGAACAAGAACGATTGTTTTAAACATTTGCAATTACCATTTGAAAATATCGATAAAAATTACATTGAAAATCTGATAAATAGCATCCCACGACGCTTTAGAAGCAATTATTAAAGCAAAGGATGGACATACTAAATGTTAATTTCATTTTTTTTTATGTATTTTATTACATGTCCACTTGTTCTTGTCCTTCGAAAATCAGCTGAGTTTTTCTTTAAGTATGTCTTTTTTCAATACAAATGTAAATATTAATTTCAATTATTCACTAAATAATCTATGTAACATAAAGGTATTATATAATATATAAAACTTAAGTATGTAATAAAAGTACTACTTTGACTAAATTTAATTCATATCTATTTCCATTACCTATCCACTCTAACTGTATATTACACTATAATATCGTACTTATAAAACAATATAATTATTCATAATTTGTTACAAATGTGTAGTATGTAACTTTAAAAACAATTTTATAATAACTGAGCCAATTAATAACAAAGAATCAAAGGAAGTAAAAAGTCATTTAATAATTAAAGACATAATAAAAAAAGGACAATTACAGTATGAGACTTGCAAGTACTGGACTGTCTTTGCAAATATATTGAACTGCTTCAATAACAAAAGATTTCATTCGCTGTATCTTTGAGAGCAACGTTGATCGGTAAATAATCGATAACTAATCTGTCGTATGCACAAAAAAAAAATCTAATTATAATGATAACACACTGCACATGCGTTGAAACTTCAATCGAGTGAAAAGTCACATGTCATTCAACGCGTGTCAATGAAAAATGGTGATTTGCTAAACATCCAGATAGAATTAGTCAACAAAAAACGCGGTGAAATAGTTAATGTCAAACAAATCGTAGCAATTTCGTTGGATCCCCGTTTACTTACGTAATCGTGTCTATGAATAATGTATAATGAACCTCTGACATTAAGGCGAATCCGGGAAAATGTACGTTTTCCTATCTGTTTATGTTTATTTGCAGTCGTCAGTTTATGTTTGACTCTCGTTTATGCCGTGCTTTATGTCATCCTTAAACGAAATTATAACATTTCGTTTCGACAGTATCCCTTCTTAGTATTATTCAGTTAATTTTGCAAAAGCAAAATTTTTGTCATGTCGCAGACTGTTGTTAATCTTGTAAAGTTATTTTATAAAGTGACTTTAAATAATAAACGTATAATTAAATATGATAATAAATAACATAAATCTAATGGCATACACATATAATATTAATAATAATATACATATTGTATATAATTAAAAATATAATTGAAAAACAATACTTCGATGAGTACATGTGTGTATTCGCATATTGTATATTATTTATTCATTATATATGTATTTTATTTATTATACTAATGTACAATTATATTAATATTTATATTAATATGATATTAATATTATTTAATTTATTTAGTTTCATATTTTAATATAAAATATTTATAATATTTATATTTTAATTTAGTAATATAATAATATTAATATTAATATAGTAATATAATATTATTTATTATACAATATATTTTTAATTAAAATTATATAACATTATTTTATTTATTATACCAATGTACAGTTATATTAATATTTATAATAATATTAATACAGTAATATAATATTATATTATTTACAATATTTTATTTGTTATATAACATAATATTATTTTTAATTTAATATTATTTAAATTATATCATATTATTTTATTTACTATACCAATGTATAATTGTATCAATATTTATAATAATATTAATATTAATATAGTAATATAATATTATATTAACATATTTGTATATATATATATTATTATCATTATACTATTACTATATGTACAATACTTACATACGTATTTATATGCATTATACTATTAATGTATTAATAATATTATAAATGTATAATTATAATATGTTAAAATAAAAATAAAATGCACATAATGACATATGACGTAATAACAAGTAACGTGTAATAAATAATAACGCGATAATAATTAATTTTCGATAAAACCAATATGATAATATCCAATTTCGAAATTCCGCGTTAATGCGGAGGAATACATTACAGGCTTGTCAAAATCGGATATTTATTGCCAATAGACAGTTCCGCCGTATTGTTATTCACGACGCATTGGAAATTACATGTTAATGAAATCGCATAATCGTTTCGTTGAAAATGGTAAAAAAAAGAAAAAGAAAAAATTTCAGACGTGGTGTGAATTATTCATATCGACATTTCGTTGCTCATATTCACAGTGTGAAATACGCGCCTTCATTTTCGTTTTGAAGTGCAATCGATAAACATTGTTGTTAGATTTCGTCGTATCGTCCTGCTGTTTGCGAATGAATTTTCAGTAGCAGTGGTACGAGACTGGAAAAAGATTTTATAAACGTCCGTGATAAGTAATTAAGCCAAAGGCCCGAAAGGCCTGTTTTTGTTTTTAGAGAATCGTGCGAGCAGTTTCTCGCGTTGATTACGACTTCCGGCACAACTTCCTCCTTTCGTTGGCTCGTCGCAACCTCTAAGCCGGAAATGCCCGTTCTGGATACTCGATCGATCCACATTTCGTCTACTGGATTTCCTTCTGCTGTTCTTACACGATTCGACGTTTTTTCTTTTTTTTTCATTTCTGGAGCTAACGATCACGTTTCATTCACAATGTTTTTTTTTTTTTTTTTAATTAATAAAGTAACATTAGTTTATAATGATAAGGATACCGACTATCGTGATTTGTCTAATATTAGGTTGTACAGAATTGTTTGTGCAATTGATTTTATATGTTAGTAATTTATAAATATTTAAAGTCTGACTTTCAATTTTAGAAATTTAGCAGAAATTTAAAAAAACTAAAATTAACTACAATAGAGATATATAGTTATAATACAACTATAATTATAACATTTACTATACGTGTAATATTACATACTTTTTGTACATATGAATGTAGTATATCGCAGTGTCTTCTATATATAGTACATTCTTTTATAATGAGACATCTCATTTATAATGATAAGGATACCGACTATCGTGATTTGTCTAATATTAGGTTGTACAGAATTGTTTGTGCAATTGGTTTTATATGTTAGTAATTTATAATTAAAGTCTGACTCTTAATTTTAGAAATTTAGCAGAAATTTAAAACGTTTATTTGTATACATGTATATATGTGTGTATAATAATGTTAAGTCAAGAATAGTGAATAATATTATATATAATAATAGTAATTATGTATAATATCATATATAACAATAGTAAATTAATTTAACATCTAATTTGTAATTAGATTACAGATGTTCATGCAAATAATAAAAACACAGAAATGTGCAAGTGATAAGAAAAATGACGGACGTGATTGAAAGCTCTATTCTAAGGATAATTGCAAGCGATATTAAAAGTTAAAAAATCGATCGGAAGGAGAAACATACAAGGTGTCGAGTGTCATACCTCCCGGCCTTTTCTCTTTATCATCGTTTTCTTTCTCTCCGTCCGTAGCAATTTTCTATCTCTGTCTCGAATCGGTTCACGTGGCTTGCTTCCCGAACGAGAATTTCCTGGTGTGAGACAATGGGCGCATCGACCTTCGCGTGCCAATATCTTCTTTTCACCTCTACAGAATCTTTCATTATTTATTATATATATGTATGTATGTATGTATATAATTTGATATATATAATAAGCATAAATTTGAAGTGATTATTAATGTATAATAAAGGTAATAACAAATGTTGTTATACTCCATTTAATATGCACATCTAATACTATAAATCTATTTTAAACATGTATATATATGTATATATGAATTTAAAATTTCAATAAAAATGTTAAAATTTCTATGAGACGATAAGACCCTATAGAATTTTATATTAATTTATTTTTGTATTAATAAAAACATAAAATTTAAATTAATATTTAATTGGAATATATATATATATAAAATTTAAAATAGATTTATAGTATTAAACGTACATATTAAATAGGGTAATACATTTGTTATTACCTTTATTATACATTAATAATCACTTCAAATTTATGTTTATTAGAAAATAGTAAAAATTATGTTGCTTTTATTATTATTACTAATTTTTTGTTCATATTAAAATAAAAAGTAATATAAAATTAACAATAATAAAGATGTATATTAAATATTATAATTATAGTTGTATTATAAATATATATCTTTATTGTAGTTAATTTGATATTTTATATATTATATATTATGTTTTAAATATTATTACATTACACAATATAGAATACCTTATTTTATATTTATATACATATTAGTATTTTATATGTATTATTATTATTATTATTATTATTATTATTATTATTATTGTTATTATTTCATATGTTCAATAAAACTTGTAATAAAAAGAAGTACTGAACCATAATTTTATATGTTCACCTTTCTATCTCAAACGACTTGTTCCATCTATATATGTAAGAATAAATAAAAAATGTGTCAAAGAAAAATAAAAGTCACCTTATTATTTTAGTCCACATAAGATTCTAAAATTATAATTATATATTATTATATAATAAAATTAATAATGTATGATAAATACAATTATAACATGTATAATATGTGTATGTATAAACATATAATTTTACATTACATATTATATCTTATCATTATATGTACCCAATATATTTTTTTTTGTAATAATTTAAAATATGATATTATTATTATTACAATGTTATAATGCAATAATATTGTATATTATATATATAACATGTTGCTATAACAATGTTGTATTATTATAACACATTATAATTCATAATAATGTATTGCACAGTTTAATCATTATATCTAAGTTTTAATTTGTCATAATTCACTAATATAGTTACGTACGCGTGATGTTAATTATTATCAAACAGCATTTGAAAATGTTCTCACCTCGTTGGTTTCAGAGAAGAGAAGATAGATAGCAGAACGTGTTATGAAATTGTTGCCATCGATTCAACTACCACAATTGCCGCCGGTTTCGGCCGGGGGTGGAATGACGGGGATGGACTCTCGACTACCACCGGGTATATCTTTGCCATTTAGCCCAACAGAGCTACTTTGGCGATATGGACCTGCCATGAATTTTCCACCCACCCATCCCCCACCAGGTCCCTTCCTCGATTTCAAGACGCATCTACCAGCTAGTTTAGGTAAGTTCCCTTCGATCTTCGTCCCTTTTGCTTGAGTCTTTATATACTACTTATAATTTATATACTCTAATTGTATTTATATACTATGACGTGAAAAATATAAGTATTCTGGCAATCGTTTCTTTTTGATAGTGTGTGATTTCATTACAAATATTTGGAAATCCTTTTTCAAAGGAAGGTAATTTTGAAGATAATGAAATCCACAATTTGGCTATATTTATTGAAGAGATGAATTTAAATTGAACTAAAATTAACTACAATAAAGATATATATTTATAATACAACTATAATTATAATATTTACTATACGTATAATATTACATACTTTTTGTACATATGAATGTAGCAGATTCTTCTATATATAGTACATTCTTTAATGAGACATCTCACATATAGTTTTTCCACAATAAAGTATAATATTAATATTTTACACATAATATATTCTTTCATAATATTAGTCTTTTAATATTGTAAATGAAATTTCAAGGAAATTAAATATTTCTTCATTATTGTGTTTTTCAGCTGAATCCTATAATTTTATGAAGAATCAAAATTAAAATTAATAATAAAATTATAATATTATAATTAGACTACAAATTTTCATATATTTTCAAGACTTTATAAACTAAACAAACGAAATCTATAATAGAAACTGTATGTACTGTACATTATAATAAATTTTACAATATTTTAGATATTTTATATATTCTTGCATATTATACGTATTGTGTATATTTTTCTAATTTCCAATTTCCCATTTCTGCTGTCTAATTATGATAAATCAGAGTTTGCTTCTTAATCGATTGGTTTTAAATGAAGTCGACTAAAATGTTTCTATAACATTCCATTAAATATAATACACTGCACTTTTGCAAGTTTGACTTATATAATTGGCTTTAATTAGCAACTATACTTCGAAATTGATAAAAATGTTACAACAGTATCTAATATAAAAGTACGAAGTTTTTTTCATGATCGATGATTACTCTAAGTTGTTTTTTACGTAACCAATGCGAAATGTACTACATGCATAAACTTCTAATTTCAACATGTGCCTTTTCAGCACGTGTTCAAACGAGTGCACTCGTACTCGTGTATTTCTTCACAATCATTGAAAACAATAATTCATCACTGGAATCTGCAGAATTTTCATAGATTTATGAAAAATCCGAAGGTGAAGAAATGTGAAAATATATTGTTGGAGGTTGGGTTTGCACGTGTGCAGAATGAGTTTGAAATATACTTTTACTTAAGAGAAATATAAACATAACATTCTATACAACAATCTATGTTTAGACTATCAAAAAATATCAATCGTTGAAATTGTCTTTGGTTTTACTTTTACCTTTCCTATGACAGAATCGCTTGCTTCTTACTTTACACTTGTACATTCATACATACTCTCAATCTTATTCAAAAGTTTTTACCGTTGCCAACCTTCACTTACTTCACTATTACCGGCTTTCACTCACTCATACCAACTGTTCAAATCAATTGTTACCAACATATATAAAACGTTTGAAGTAAAGTATTTATCGTAATATATCGTGTTTCAACAAATTTTTATTCAAATTTTGTCGCTTTAGTTATATTTACAAAAGAAAATCTTAAAAATACATAAATAGTCTAGTGATCAATAGCTGATTTTTGATTATTTAATAGGGGAATTTATTTTAACGTATTCGAGGTGGGATTCGATCGATTTTTCAAGCTCGCAGCCCGAAGAAATAAGTTTTTCTTCTTCCTTCTTTTATATCGACGCTTTTAGAACACGTTATTATGCTTTTACTATCAATTATAAGTTCCAGTGTCATTATAAGTTCCAAAACGTGTTTAATAATAGCGAGAAGTTTTCTTACTGCGTTTTTTAAATTTTAAATATGGGAATAGTGGTTCCCGTTCGTCTCAAATGCTAAAAAAATTATTTAAATAAATAAAATGTATTTATAAATGTAGTTATAAATGTATTTAGACATTTATAACATTTATCAAATATTTTCAATTGTATTTGTTTAATCTTTTGTCAAATTTTAATTAAACGTCTTTGTTAAATTGTTGTGTTATTAGATGAATTTTTTTATATTATATTTTTTATAATTATATTATATTTTTATTTTATATTTTTTACATTATAAACGCAAACAAAATGAAAATAGGTCTTCTAATACTTTCGTATATAGTCTCCTTTATTGTTTGAATTAATTATTACCAGTTACATGAATATCAATTATTTATTATTAATGTATAATTAATTATATTAATATCAATATCAAGTACATTTAAGTTTTATCTCATTTATATACGAAAATATGAAAATGCTTTTAAAACATATAATAAACTTAGATTTAGGCCTCCTCCGGTCTTTTACGTAACGGCTTAAAGCTTAATCTTTCTAAGGTTAACCAGTTAACCCTTTGCAACTCACTGTCCATACGTTCTAGATATCATGTTTCGATTGAACAATTTCATTGTCCAGTCCCTCTGGACAAATTTCATTGCTATATTTATAGAAGGATTCATCTTCCAAAAATTGTAAATTTATAAAGTATTAAATATTTAATCACGAAAAAACATTTTTTCCCATTTATTTCATTTTCAAAAAACTGTCCTGCAAAACTGCCTCTGAGATAAAATTTTTGTAGATTCCGCCTTCGAAATTTTCTTCAACAGGACAAAAATATTTATTCTTTTATAACGTAAACTATATTTGTATGAAGTTTTAAATCTTTTTCAATTTTCCATATTCAAATAAAATATTACGTAATGGATTTCTTCTAAGCACAGTTAATAGTCAGTATTTAATACTAACGTGGGGGATACGTGGGAAACATGGGGATCCATACGAGATATACTATAATATAATACAGTACATCGTCAGCAGACTAATAAAAATCACTGAATCGCAGAATTCAATTTCCTAAAAATATATAGATAAGGTGGTAAACTGAAAAATTGAAGGGTTTGAAAAAGTCGTAATTTGTTCATTTTCTTTTTTTTTTTGTAAGTTATAGAAAAAAATCCATTAATTATATTTCCAAATAAAATAATAAAATTATTAATAAAAAAATTAAAAAAAAACATATGTTTGCAAAAGTTACTTTTGTTGCGTATCATTCAGTCTTTCAGCGACCACCCTATATAATCTACCAACGATAAAAGAGAAAAGAAAACGACAAAAAATAACCGAGCGGGTGTTCTCTTCAACAGCTTCAGAACCACGGCTGTGGTCCCGCGAGGACGTTGCGACGTTCCTCCGATGGGCCGAGCGGGAATTCGATCTACCCCAGTTCGACATGGACATGTTCCAAATGAACGGCAAGGCGCTCTGCTTGTTGACAAAGGCCGATTTAGGAGAAAGATGTCCAGGAGCCGGTGACGTGTTGCACAACGTGCTAACGATGCTGGCCAGAGACTTCAGCCAGCTTCAGAGGTGTCTTCCCAGCAGCCCTGTCACGCCTACGAGGCCGTCTGCGTACCCCCTCAGCCCCCATTCGCATCCTCCTACACCAACCTGGACAGAGAATCCGTACACCGCGAATCTGGCCTCGTTGATGTCCGCCAATTCGGTGACGTTGTCACCGGCGCCGTCGGTCGACAGTCAAGCTGGCTCGCCAGGGCACACGGAAGGCACTCAGAGCCAGGTTTACAAGAGCGACTCGGACGAGGATAATCAACAAGCGGCGACCGGAAGTCCACCGGCCACGCCGACCGCCCTCGCTGCTCAAAGGTTAAGTGAGGTTTGTGTGAAGGATCAATCGAGCCCCACGTTGACGCAGCCGATGATGCCTTTGACGCCTGGTGCCTTCAGAACGAACCCCGCCAACGCCGCGAGAGAATTCTTCCCCAGCGATTCCCCGGAGCCCAACACCAGTAAGTACATACACTCGGTTCTGTACTTAACAATTTTTGGGTTTTACCAGCCAGGTTTTTGGTTTAGCCTGCTGTTGCAATTTATTATATTTACTATAATAGTGTTAATATACAAAGTTATAGTACCAATATAGTACTATAATAAGTATAAGTTACAGTACTATAACTTATACTTATGGTATAGTTATATACTATAAGTATATAATATTAATATAGTAAGTTATATATTATATAATAGTAGTATTATAATATATAACTATACTGTTATAGTACTATTATATAAGAGTATTATAATAGTATAGTTATATATTATAAGTTTATAGTATTAATATAGTACTATAGTAGTACTGTAATATAAGTATATAGTACTATAGTACTATAAGTTGTAGTACTATAATTAATATACTATTATACTATAATATATTAAGTTTTAGACTATGGCCATTTCTACTGTTTACTAATCCTTTTCTAAATATATGTTTATTGCAGTAAAGCACATATTGTAACTTTTGCATTGATTTTAAGATCGGTACAGAAATAAATACAGTGGTAATGAAATTTCAATATTTTATATAACAATATTACATATGCAATTACAAATTCTTTTATAAAAACAACATTAGTGTTTTTCCCATAAAAGATACAGCATATTTATGCTAATTTAATTTATTTCACTTTCTATGTATATAATCAAGCAAAAGATATCATTTAAGTTCTATTAAAAAACTAATAAAAACATAAACTGTAAAAATATCACTCTATTAGATTTTATTATTAAGAAATAATCTTAATCAATTAAAATTTTATTGTAAACATTTTTGTTTGACTATATTCATTGAATGTACTGACAAAATTTGACTAGTTAAACCCTTGAACATTCTTCTATATTTATATTGGTTATAAAGTTTTAAGCTCTGCATTTTCTTATAATACCGAATTTAACAAAAAGAAACATAAAATTATTCCATTACAGATAATAATAATATAGTGAAGTTAATGCATTTAATAATAATGTTGTTATTATTATTTGATACTGATATACATTATAGATAGTATTGTAGAAAGCCTGTAATTTTTTACAATACCGAATGTAATCAAAAGAAACATAAAATTATTCTAATTAATAAAATCAATAATAATATTACAAAACAATTATACATCAATAATATTACAAAAATTTTCTTTCTTTGTCACAGATGGTAGACTTCTGTGGGATTTTCTCCAACAACTTTTAAACGACCCCTCGCAACGGTATACACACTATATCGCGTGGAAGAGTCGGGAAACTGGTGTATTCAAGATCGTCGATCCACCTGGTCTTGCGAGGCTCTGGGGTATCCAGAAGAACCATCTTTCAATGAATTACGATAAAATGAGCAGAGCACTACGATACTATTACCGAGTGAATATTCTGCGAAAAGTTCAAGGAGAACGGCACTGTTATCAGTAAGTATATCCTATTATCAATAATTTTGTTAATATTACTAGAAACAAAGTAAGATATCTATTTAGTAAATTAGGTACCAAAAGTGAAAATAATTTTTAAATGAAGCGCAAATGAAGACGAAATTTAATTATAAAACAAATGTAGGCTACTCTGTTTTATAAAATAGTTAAACAAAAATTTTGAGCAGTGTTTGAACGTTTGAAAAGTTGCAAAAATGAAGAGTTACAGGATCGTGAAAAGCTTACTGTATATAAAAAAAAATCGTTCACGCGATTTGAGTGAAACAATCGTTGCAAAACGGGTATATAATAATTATGCTATACTATATAATTATACTATTATTATAATAGTACTACATAATTATACTATTATACTTGTACTGTACTGTATAATTATAATATTACACTTGTACTGTACTATATAATTATAATATTACACTTGTACTGTACTGTATAATTATAATATTACACTTGCACTGTACTGTATAATTATAATATTACACTTGCACTGTACTGTATAATTATAATATTATACTTACACTATACTATACTGTATTATACTTATACTATACTATATGATTATACTATTATAATAAAAAATTATAAGTTAGTATAGTAATTGTAATGTACTATACTAACTTGTAAAACCTAGCTAAAGAAAAGCAAACGACGTACATAATTCGACGTTGATTCATTTCACGCGCTGAAACGATGTAATTTGCTCTATATATATACTTAATTGCTTTCGTAATTCAGTCGAGTTAAGGAAGTTGAAGCTTTAATGTCTAGCTTCCTACGAAAGGAGAATAGAATTGTTCAAAACGCTTTTTCTTTTTTAGGTTTCTGCGAAATCCAACGGAGCTGAAGAACATAAAGAACATATCTCTGCTGCGCCAGCAAATGCGGATAAAGTCAGAACCGGAAGAAGAAGGCGGAAGTGGCGTTGAGCCGGAAATCGATATGCCGACAGATCTCTCAATGTCTAGTATGAGTCAGCCACCCAGTGAGCAACAGCAACAGCAGCCGCAACAACAGCAGCAGCAGCAACCTCTGTCTCTTCACGATCCACCTGCAAAATACAGAAGTCACGCGTACAATCTTGTGAAAACTAACCAGGAATCGGAAGAGAAAAAGTGACGCGAAGCATAGCCACGATTCGACTACACGTTTTTAACGTTGACTGAATCAACGGATTTTGCATTATAGAACTCGTCATTCGATTCAAATACTGTTCAAGTATATCGTTCACTTGCGGAATGAACTACACGTCTCTAGAGACATTCTCTGCCGTTTGTAAACCGCCAGGTCGTCGTCTTCTTTTTTGCAAGGCCATCATTCAAGCGAAAGAACTTAGATTATAAATTAGAAACAGCCGTGCGATCAACGTATTTGGGACGAATCCACGACAAAAGACTGACAAATAAAATATCATAGTGCGAGTTACCGCATCGAGCGACGAGAAGAATGGTGTCCAAAGCAAGCAACGTCTAACTGTGTGTCGCCTCGGCCATGATCAGTTGATTCACCTTGAGTTGAAATACACTACTACATCGTGATGCCAACCCGGTTCTTTTGATTGCTTGTCGATTTCTATTCCCGCATTGGCCGCAACTTCGAACAACGTCCACCGATTTTGGAATCGGCTCGAGGATGAGCAACGAACAAACAGCAAAAATCATTGCGTTTTCAAATGAGATAATTGGCTGCCGAGAATCTTGTTCAGGGAGTCCAATTGTCGTGCTACGATTGTGGACGTGTGATGCTTCGGTGAAGCTGAACTTTCGCGGATATTCCGCCGTCTGTTTTCCATCCTTCGTGTTGTTAATGCACGTGCGTGCGCGAGTGTGAAACGTTTCTCGCTTCTACAACGAACTAATTTAGAAATGCTTATAGGCTGCTTATCGACGAACGTACAAAACGGTGTTCGGGAAACGATCGGAGGCGTTTGATTCCAAATTGTTCTGTGATGCAAAACTTCAGCTTGAAAGTAAATTTCTTAAAGTAAAGTACGCTTGGCTGTAACCGAGGATATGAGTTTGTCAAACATTTTCTTTTTTTTTTTTTTTTTTATTTCAGCAAAAGGAAAAAAGTTTCAAGCTAACGTAATGTACATAGCTCAAACTTTTTAAAGAGGATCTGTTTTGTAAATGAATTCGAGAAAGTTTCAAAGTTAGTTTCCCGTTGCACCGACTCAGTTGTGCCAATTTAAATTCGTCGGTAATTCGTACATACTTGCGTTTAGATTATAGTGTTCTGTATAAAGGAAAAAAGAAAAAAAAAAAATAAAGAAATAAAGGGAGAAAAATGCGACTCTCGTTTTGAATTAGTCGAAACGACGCTGAGAATTGTTTTGTGTCCCTAAATCGTAGATACTTGTAAATAAGTTGACGAGCTATTGAAAAAAAAAAAAAAGGAGGTATAATAAATTCTATCGAGCAAAAAAGAAAAGTGCGAGAGTTTTAAGAAATTCGGGGCCAGAGTTATATATATACATATATATGAATATAAATTTATGTATAAATAAATCTCTATATATATTATATTATATATATATATATATATATATATTTTACTACGGAAGAGAAAATTTATATTCGAAATTTCTATGTTCGTTGTCGATGCGATTGTGGCTCACATTCCTCGCCAACGGAACCTAGACTTTAAACAAAAAACAGTAAAAAGAAAGAAAAAAAAAAGAATGTAACTAGGGACCGAAGGCGCGTGTACGATTAAAAACTGGTCTTAAGATCGTATTTTTACAAAAGACTCGACATACAAACTCGGGACAGAAAGTATGGAAAAGCTCTTATGAGTGAGTCAATGTACCACGTGTGAATGCGTCATGAGTGTATGCGAGAGTAAAAAAAGAGGAAATGAAAAGTGCATTAGAACAAGCAAGAGATTTATGTAACTGAATTAAAGAAGTTGTATTTGGCTATTTGTATACTGTGATCTCCGTGAAGTTTTTATCATAAAAATGCGGATGCATAAAAACGAAAAAAAAAAAACCGTGTATATAATTTTCATGAGAGACAATTTATATTAATGATAAATATATATTGAAGTACACATACACAAAATTGTGTTCTTGAAAGACAACCCAAATTTAGACCGTAAAACAAAGGTTTGATATTTCTCGACACGCAATTTAATACATTTAACGTGCGATTGTATCTAAAAGTTATTTACTCGTAAGTACTAGACTTACGTGTCGATCATGATGATACGCTATATACCGAATATAAATCTTACATTCATTAAAAATGAATGTTTTGAAAAAACAGGTATTTCCTGCAAAGCAAAAGTCGACGTCTCGATCTCGATTACGATCTTAGTTCGGATTGTCATATATCGTTAATATATATCATCTACATGTGGATCACGCATGTGTTGTAGAATTTTTTAAAGAACATCAATGCTTTCAAGGATTCTTTTATTTCCCAGCATTTACAAACTTCCCTTACGATTCACCAACAAGGTTTATATTTCATTTCTATTCTACAGATTCTGTATAAAATAAAACTTGTACAATTTTAGGAAATTACAATTGTTTATTGTGTAACTCATTGCAAATGGACAAGCAATGTGTAAATAAAGATTTATTTACTTATTAAGCTAATTTTAACAGTCAGTTTATTATCCCTCTATGAAATTAAATTTTCTCAGTCGATACGTATGTAAAATATGTAAAATATTCCTGAATCTATCTATTAAAAGTATTTAATAATAAAGATATGCTATTTAAATATTTTGTTTACATTTTATTAAAAAGAAAAACTCTCACACAATACATTTTATAATTGGAAAAATATCACATCATCTGCTATCACAGAGGTACTTGTTTTTGTAGTACCTTCTTCATCTTTAAACTCTCCGTAGGTTATTTTTCCTGAGACTAGTACCCTTTGACCTTTCTGTAAATATGTGAAAACAGTTTCGCGCAAATTTGGTTTAAATACGCATATCTTATGCCAGTCTGTACGTTGCACCAAATCTCCTGAAATTTTTCTTGCTATAAAATCTTATATTTCTTAAAAAATTTTAAATTTCTATTTCATGCATATACAGTAAAACGCATTAAAATTTTTTAAATATAAATACAATTTTTATTTTACTTTCATTTAATAGTTAATGAAATATTTTATCTAAAAATTTATAAAATTCACAATAGAAGAAATTAATACTAAAGAATTTAAATAAAGAAATGTAATAAAATAATATTTAAAATATTTTAATATTTAAAATAAAAAGTTAAATATTGGAAAAATAAATAAAATAAATTTATAAATCATTCATAAATTAAATGTTTCATAATTTCTAATTATTATTTTATTTTCATCAACAGGATAAATTCCTACTATTTTCATTTAAATTATATAAAATTTCTTATGTTATGTAATATTAAAGGTTATTTGATATATAATCTATGAAACGCGACCTACCATTCATATTTTTGTAGTTACTATGTGTAGCAACAGAAAAAAGAACAACAGGATGTTCTTCACTACCTCTTTGTTGTGGATTACCTCCTACTCTTCCTAATAGAGTAACTCGATTTAGAGCTGCAATTCATATGATTAGTATTTAATTATTTTCAAAAAATGCTTTCAATAATTTAAAACGTGTAACAAAATTATAGCTAAATTATAAATTTTGTATATTATTTCATAAAACCAAACATATCAAAAAATTTTATGCTTTTATAACTTATATTCTAAGATTATACATTAAACTTTAATACTTCGTTTAAATTACAATATTATTATTATATATTATTTCAATATTATTATTACACTAATTTATTGTAGAAATATGTTACGACTTATGTCTGGAAAAAATGGATGTAAAATGTTAGAAGCAAATAATACAAAAATATTAAATTTTCTAAGCAGTAATTTTATTTCAAAATTGAACACTACTTACTTTCAGAATTTCTTTAAATATTTAATTTGAAAAACACTCACATTAAAAATAAATTATATAAAAAAAAATTATGACAAATGGAAACAATTTTTTTTGTTGAAACTTATGATGATAATATTATGATAATATTACATAAATCATGTCTAAGTAAAGATTAAATTTGTATGATTAATTAATATTTCTGTAAAACAATATGTAAATATAACAAAATTT